CAAGAAAAAAAAAATAATCGAAATTTCGAATCTGAGCACTGGAAAAGATATGTTTAGCAAGTATGATGCGGCAGTAAACTTCCCCCTTGACCACAAAAAATTGTAAGAAAGCAATAAAAGAGGATTCAGAGGAATCAAATTCTCAATGAGCAAATTAAGTTATAAAACAGAAAAAAGATCGGTCGCCGTACAAACTAAACAATTTGAAAATACTATTGGTCACACACCGAGAAATTCAAGAACACAAGCACAAGGTTGCAAATCTGTGAGCATTCATTGTTATTACTATTTATTATTAACTTGCTAATGCTGAAGGTCGTTTATTTATCGCTTTACAACACTCCAGTCCTTGCGCGGGATTTTTTGGAAATATTTGATTTTCCTATAAAGCATTTTGTACCAAATGAGCCCAACGACGGAGCACAGTGCCACAGCAATATAATATCCATCCACAGCCAATTCGCACACATTCCCTTCAGTCACGCACTGCTCCGACAAAACTTTCGTGTCGCACGAGCGCAGAACGCTAAAACACAACAATGGTATTAAAACAGGCACCACAAAACGCCTTGAAGAACACTGTCCAAATGGGCAACTTCAGATTTTAAGGCATGTATCATGCCAAACTGTCCGAACAAATACACTATGACAACTAGTCACCTTCAAATTGCCAATAAGCAATCATCGGAAGGAGTCATCAGCAGTCTTGCTAGCGCATTTGTTGGTGATTTCACTCGTGCGCTAACTTAAACTGCCTGCAACGCTCAAACAGAGGGAACACAGAATGAATTCTAACATTCGATTAAAATAAAGCAAGTAACAATAGCTACCACAAACGCCTCCTCTCTTGATATGACTGACTGGCCATTTCATCTCGACAATGACTGGCACCTGGATAACATCAGAACATGGCAGACTAACAACGCTTTCTTAGAAAGGGGGATGTTAGCCAGCCAAGCACAGACTGCGTGAATCACCGCCAGACTACTAGGGAACAGTTGCACAGGATCTTACAACAAAAATTTATATTTTCCTCGGCAGTAGCTTGCACTGAATAAGTCCAAACAGTGGAAAAGAGTACACACACACACCATCAAAAGGTATCAAAAACATCTCCTCAATTTAGATGGAGACATAACAGCTAGGGCTCATTAGTGCATGCGCCCGGGTTCCTAGAATTCCACGACCGCCAACCCGATGACCTATAAAATTAGTAAGAAAACTCTGGAAGCCAAAAATCAGCGAAACGTAACCACAAAAACAACTGAAGCTTACGTTTTGGTCCCTTTCAAGACGCAGTTTTTGAAAGTAAAATGATCGGTGAGAGAAAGAATTAATGTGACCGGCCAATTACCACCAAGATTGTTGAGCGTATTAAGCAGCGTCATGTACGTACCGCCGATAGCCGGATCGGACACTTGCGCGTTGAACGCCATCATCGAAACGAACATGCTGTATGAAGCCACCTAAACAATACAAGCGGAACATGTGTGCGTCATGATCTCTTGTGGAGATTTGCTTACAAAAGCGCATAAAAAGAGAAACAACGATCATCCGCTTTATTTCTGCTCAAAAAAGTGAATAAATTTCCAACAAAGCCACTATACTAGCTATGCTCAGAATCGCGGAAGGCAGATTCTTGCTTTAGCTATCATACGCCCGGAATAGATTCACCCAGTCGAGCAACTTCAGAATATGCTTATATTAGCACGAATTTCGCAAAAACAGTGCACAGCTACACGAATCCCAAAACCCAAATACCAACCGTAATAGAAACGCAAAATACCACCTTAACAACCCAAAATGGAAACCAATTCACTCGGGTGTTGAACTCTGTTTAACAAAAAAACCAACTTACAGCAAGTCAAAATTGATCAAGGCCTTTTAAACTATTTAAGATAAACAGATAAATTATCAGCAACAGCCATCAAAGAGCCTTCTGCTGCAAAAAAATGACGACGTAGTACTAAAATTGTCCTGCAGAGCTAAAAGAATTTAGACTAAAGAAGTAATTTCTCAAAAGAGGCATTCAGAGCTTCTCCTTTAAACTAGATGAGCACGCAGAGAGCACTTCTCACGCAATTTTTAATGCTTCACACACTAATATCTTCCAGTTACTAGTTCAGCTATGATTCCAATAAAACAAATTAATTTCTTTACTCTCATACATGGTAAATCCTCCCTATTAAATGATCATCCATATGCAAAAATACACTGAACTAATGCTTTTGTTGGAAAGATCGTCCA